GCTTGAATTCCAGCGCGCAACCGACTCCCCCCAACCCACATACACCGACTACCAATCCGGCCAACGCTTCTCCTGCATCATCACCATCGACGGCGAAGACCAACCCTTCGGCTCCATCTCAAACCTCTTCTCCTCCAAAAAGGCCGCTCGACAAGACGCCGCCCGCCACGCCGTCGAGCACTTCAAGAGCCTGGGTACCTGGCCCACAGACGACACAGCCGTCGGCGGCATCCGTAAGAGAAAGAAAGCCTCCCCCATCGACCCAGACACCGTCTCAATATCCCCACTACTAGACAACTCCAGCTCCCCCTCCACACCCCCCATCCAAGCAACAACCCCCACCCCCGCGCCTCCAGGCACCCCCTCCTACGCCTCCCGCGTCGCGACCCTCGCCGTCACGCTCGCGCTTCCGACTCCAGAATGGAACTACACGCCCCACCCCTCCGATCCTACATTCCACAGCGTGTGCTGTTACTTCAAAGGCGCGGGACAGCATGAGGGTCCTATCGGTGAAGTGAGGAATATTTACGGGAGGAAGAAGGCGAAGGAGGAGTGTGCAAGGTTGACGCTGGAGTATCTTGTGCAGGTGAAGGAGGAGAGGTTGAGGTATGGGATTAGTGTTATGAGGGGGGTGCTAGGCGAGGAAGGTGTTGAAGGTGTTGTTGGGGCGGGTTTGGGCAGGGTTGGATTGGGTGAGAGTGAGGGAGCAGAGGCGGGAGAGGAGAAGATGGTTGGGGATGTGGGAGGCAAGGTGAGGTTGGGGATGGGGCTTGATGGTGTGGATGAGAGGATGGGGGATATGGATGTGGATTTGGGGGAGAGTAGTGAGGATGAGGTGTTTGCTGATGCTGTGGAGGGCTAGGGTTTGGTCTCTACTTTGGAGGCGTTGGCCTGTATAGCAGCTTTGGGTAGTGTACAGCGGGATTGGGTAGATATGCTGTGGCCTGGACCTTGTATACTGGTGTTCGGTACATATGAACTTCAGCTTTAACAGCAGCATAGCCCTCTGGTGAATACCCATACAACACATCAAAGCCCTCGTCCTCCTCCCATTTTCACCCAACACATCTACCTCACCATCTCCGCACACATATTGAAGATGAAAGCAATCGAACACCCAAGTAAAATGACCAGTAATATTCGCGCATCTCCACGATACACATGTCTAAACTCCATTTCTACCTCCCGCAGAAGGCATGAAGTAGACAGGAGACTAGTTGTACAGTTTACCCAGTCCCACTAACATTTGAGATACACTGGATGGGAGGCTTACTAAGCCCACCACCTCGACACTCTTCGCGAAGAAAAAAGCAGAATATCCATTCGCACCATTCGCCGTGAAAAGGGACCCAGCGACAGCGACAGCGACGACAGGGAGAAATAGATGTACAGGTACAGAGGACCATTGCGACCGTAAAGCCCATGGACTCAACCACAGAATCAGAAACCGGGAAGTCGGCCGCTCTTCTAAGACGAAGCAACCTCGCTCTTCCTCTTACTCCGATCGCGCTTCTTCTCCTTACCAGCCTTATCCGCCTTCTCCTTCTCCTGCGCCGCCGCCGCGTTCTCTTTATCGCCTTCCATCTCCGTGTTGCGCGTGCTACGCCCGGATTTAGCCTTCTTCTTCGCGGCGCCAGTCTCCTCAGGGGGAGTGGGTTCGTCGTGAGAGGAAGCTGGGGCGGGAGCGATGGGTTGGGGCGCGGATTTCTCCTTCTTCTTCTTGTCTTTCTTTGCGGGGGTTTCGGCGACGGCGGGGGCGGTCGAGGTAGTGGCTTGGGGTGCGGAGCGCGAGGTAGGCAGGGGGACGGGTGTGGAGGCTGTGGCGGGCGCGATGGAGACGGGGATTGAGTTGCCGTTTACAGCGGGCGTCGTCTTCTGGCGCTTGCGTGGTGTCTTTGCGGGGGGAGAGGGGGCTTTGGCGGGCGCTTCGTCTTCGTCTTCGGAGGAGGCGTCGCTGTCTGCGGCGCCGGCTTCGACTTCGGCTTCGATTTCTGGTTCGCCTTCCTCGGACGCGTCGTCTTCTTCGATTTCGGCGTCCTTGATGCCCTTCTGCTTGACGTATTCGGCCATTTGCACTTTCCACTCTTCCATGGAGTTGCGGTAGGATGCTTTCCATTCCTGTGATTGGGTTAGTGAGATGTCGATTGTCGGGTTATGCGATTGTGTGCTTACCTCCTTCTCCGCGTCGGAAAGCTCAGCCCAGCGCCTGTTGACCTCGGTCTGGACGGCGGCTGGAGCGAGTGTGCCACCGGGAGCGAGCGCTGCCTCCAGATCCGCCTTGACGATGGGACGCGCGTGTTGGTGGTAGAGGAAAGCAGCAGTGAGGGGCTTCTTGGGCGCATTGGGGTCTTTCTCCTTCTTCTCGCGTTTGCGCTTCTTGCTCTTGACGCCGTCAATTGCCTTCTCAGCAGGCGCGCCAACGTCTCCGGCTACGCTGTCCATAAGCTTTTGGCCACTCTCTACAACATTCGCGGCGGTCTTGATGGTACTTGTGATAGCATCGTTCTCGGTTGAGACGTCGTCTTTTTCGATGCCGAGGACTGATGCGCAGTGCTTGTTGTAGTGGTCCATGAGGACGGTGATCTGGTGCTGTACGTTGACGAGACCATTCTGGAGGCTGTGGAGAGAGCCCAGAACCTGCGCGTGATTGTAAGTTTTTGCTTTGTAAAACCACCATGTATCGGGTCGCGTAGATTACGCGATCCATGTTACACAGACGTATCCATATGGCGACGTGATGGTGGCGCGATAATGCGCGCTGACCGCGTGGTGTTCCGACGCGACGACAGAGCTATGCGCGCGTGTCGCAATTGCGATTGGAGAGTGCAAAAAGGGAATTGGGTACGTACGTGGTCTCTGGTCCGATTGAATTCTGCAACAGAGATCAGCAATTCGCCGGTGGCGGGTGTCTTCTTCTTGGGGACCATGTTGGGCGGCGTGGTATGGGCAGAGGGTGAAGACGCGTCGACGGGCGGGAGGTTGAAGAGGGAGGGCGCGGGAAGGGCGGAGGAGCGCTGAAATTTCGGGGGGTCGGGGGCATGGCTCCCTTAAGTGACAGCCCAAACACAAGCGAACGTGCCCTGATTTTTGGGCAGTCACCAGCCCATTTGGGGGGCACCAGTAAATTAATGCCCCCAAAATTCAAATCTAGGCTTACTTTTCGCGCCTGCAGCCTGTACAAAAGGCGCGTTTTCAAGATGCATCCAGACAAACTGCACGCGAAAGTTATGCGCAGTCTTTTTTGAGCGTCTACTACCTTTCAGAAGCCATAGTCTACTATCAGCGCGCATTTTATCTCTGTTGCGCAATGCATATCTCTGTTGCAGCGTGTTGTGCAACTTGGGTGGCGTAGGCCGCCTATTAGAGCGAGGGCGCCCATCCGCTGGGCAGTGCCCCCCAAGCCGCCCGTGATAAGGCCTCGCTTTGGTGCCACCTCCCCATCTTTGCGCGTGTTTCAGGCGCCGTTTGGCTTTGCCCGCCCTCCACCACGCAACAAGTCAATCTGGGTTTGAAAGATGCCACAACTCTGCGCATAATACACCATGACATGATTTCACACAGCTTACTCTCTTTTGCAATCGTATTTGATATCATTGCTCTATCTACTCTTTGAACCGACCACCTTCGCTGACGTCAGGGTATACGTCAAATCGCCTCTGTCCATAGAGTGGCACTCCCTTCCTGGTCTCTTCGATCTTGCCCGCTTCCAGTTCGCGGATGAGTACACCTTCCTTCTCGTCTAGCTGCTCTAGCACTACCGCATTGGGGTCAACGACCATGCTGTGTCCCCACGCGTTGTATTCAGCCTCCATGTCTCTTGCTGGACTACACAGTCCAACGTAGACCTGGTTGTCCGTCGCCCTAGCCCTCGCCAACAACTCCCAATGTAACGCGCCGGTCGTGAGATTGAATGCGCCAGGGTATAATAGCAGGAACGCGCCCTTCCTCGCCGCGATCATGGCAAGCTCGGGGAACCGTATGTCGTAGCAGATGGCTATCGCAATCTTTCCGTATTCGGGGAGGTCGACTAATGTGATCTTGTTGCCTGGCGACAGCACCTCGCTCTCTTTGAACTTGATCTTGCCTGGGATATCGATGTCGAACAAATGCACCTTGCGATGAGTGGCAAGTAGCTCTCCACTCGGCGCAAAGGTCAAACTTGTGTTGTACAGCTTCTTCGTATCCTTATCATCTCTCTCTGGTATGCTTCCTCCAACAAGGTATACGCCCGCCTCTTTCGCCAGTTTGCTCAATGCGTGGAACGTCTGCGATTGCGATTCCGAAGGTGGGGAAGGGAGGAGCGTCTCGGCGTACTTGTCGAAGTACTTTGTTCCGTAGGGCGAATTGAAGCATTCGGGAAGGACTACCAGTTTTGCGCCGGCTTTTGAGGCATCGAGCACTTTTTGGCGCGCTGAAGTGAGGTTTGCGGTCTTATCGGCGCCTGAGGCGAGTTGGATGAGCGCGAGCTTTAAGGACTTTTTGAGGAGGGACGCCATGGTTGATGCTTGTGTGAGGAATTGGTGAGACTACAAGGCAAATAATCCGGGGAAACTTGAAGCTGAAGTATATACAATGTGATGTTGGAGGTCTGGTTGGAGTGTTGGAGTAGAGTTGGGGTGGGGGTTAGCTCCAGATGTCCGCATGATGACATCGCTCGGACTCGCCGCCCGATCATGGCGGGGTGTGCCTGCCGACGCGTTGGACGCGTTCCTTCACTCCTCAACCACACCACACCACACGCCGATATCGTCTACTTTAACAACATTGCGCAAGCGCGTCACTTATCGTCAAGCAAAGACACTGGCAATGAGAGATCTCGCATTCCATTATTCTTTTACACCACGTTGGTGCAAAGAAGACGATATCCCATCGCTTAATACCGCTGCCTTTACCATGTCCATCGATCCTTCCGACTCTCCACCATGGATGTCCACAATGGAACAATGAAATTTACTGAGTGTAGGTAATCGTCCAGCAAATGCCATCTTAACAACCACACGCTACCACCATAACATATTGATGTCGAAGGAACTCTTGATAGGAAAGATCCCCAGATAGAAACCCCTCATGCGATCCATTAACAACATCAAGTTCGCAGCCTCCTGGTGATCCAGGACGTATGAACCAATCCGCTCCCGTACACTATAAGGCAAACCCATCAGGTGTGGCGCTGGCGATCGCATTGTGGCGCGAAGCTTGCCTGTCTTCTTCCCAGGGTGCAGCAGGAGGTATTGTCGCGTGTCCTGATGACTACCGCTTTGTCCAAGCACAATGTACGCAAAACCCTTTGGCTTGTCCTCCGGAGTCAACGTTCTTGGCGCAGTCATCACAGCAACAACCTGTCGGGAGTACCTTTCGAAGGCGACGGTATCTGCGCGAAGGTATTCGAGTGTTGTGTTCGCGGCCTCGATGTCAAAGTGTGACTGACTGTGGCCATCTTCAGACCACGCGTTCGAGCTAACGAATTCGAAGTGACATTTCGCAGCTGAGGGTGACCACATCGCCTTTACGAGTGGAGTAATGTTGGTACTCTGGTGCCACAACGTGTGCATGAGGCAGGTGCCCTTGCAACATCCATTGGCGACATCAATTTTGACCTGTCGGACATACTGCATCTGGGACCCTAGACACCAGTTCGCGGCCGACTGGATCTGTCTGAGATCTTTTGTAGCCGACTGAAGGCGCTTATAATCTGGTACACAGTCGGTCGGTGCCTTGCCAAAGACGAAAGTGTTGTTGCTGTACAAGACACTCGCGGCCTCGTCGTAGATCTGGCGACAGCTGAGCAGCAAGTTCATGCCGCCGCGGATACTGGTGAACGCATCCGACTTGACCGGTGCGCATGAACTTGGTGCGTTCTCTTCATCCTGGGTACTCTTGCTCATCGCTTGTTCTTGGTCCTCAGAATACTCGAATCGAACGCTTTCTTGGTGCTCAAAGAGGTGGACGTATATCATGGTGCGTATCTCGCCCGGCAAATCGAGGATTGAGCCACCGATGTGTGCTTTGCTGGCTTTCGTCCGCGGGATTTCGATGAATCGGAGCGCCATCTCGGATGCCTGGTTGCTGAGTGTGAGTTGAAAAGTATGCGAGACTGGAATTGGCGGAGCTGGTTCTTTAAATACTCGAGGGGAGAAAGAGAGAGCGGCAGCCTGATTGACTAAGCATGTGTAGTGCACTGACCTGGAGGTCGTGGTTCCGTACCTTGCCAACGCAGAATTGCTACGACTTGAGGCGTACATCGCCACTACGGAATGTGCCTGGTGCACAGACGTTCCAAAGGCCTCCGTTCATTGCCTCTGTATATGAACCGGCTTTCCGATCTCAAGCACTTACCGCACCTTTCAGCACTCAACTCTCCTACTCGAGCAAACAATATGGCGCCGAACAACACGCCGAAGCCGATCGCAAAAGGCAACTCTACGAAAGCCAACCCGGATATCCTTTCCTTCCTCGATCTACCAGCCGAAACCCGGAACCAGATATATGGAATCCTCTTCACGAAAGGTGCCGTAGACAGTCAAGTGCATGAGCTGCACGACTGTAATTTCAGGCGTTGGTACCCGCCGCCCGCCGCAGAGTTGGCATCTTCGACGAGTATAAGACTAAAGAATACGGACGAGGATCACGTATCCTTCGTAAAAGATGGTTGCCATATCGAAGGTATACAAAGCACACGTGCACAATTCCTCGCAGGGAAGCCATTACTCTCAACATGTCGACAGGTCTATCACGAAGCCGTCACCACGTTTCTGAAGAGTAACACCTGGACCGTTGCATTGAAACGTTATACATCTAGATCCCAGCTTGTCACACTTTTACAAGACGCAGCAATCTTCTTGAGCGGACTTGGTTCTCAATCCGGATTGCTGAAGGGGTTGGAAATCGAGGTGGCGGAGGTTATCTCTTGCAGCTTGGTGTGACTGTGGAGGTTCTTGGGGCTGTTGATGGTGGCGAAGGTTGAAAGACAAGAGAACATTCACTCTTTGTCAACGCTCGTATGTGCCCTCCTCCACTCGTATCACGGCTACGGATCGTATATGGTGCCTGATTAGGCTATCCGGTGCGTAATTATCTTCACTCTTACTATTACTTACCCCTATTAGCTCCTGGTCGTGCCGCGGTACGTTCAATTGCCAACCCGGCAGGCAATAGTCTTTCACCAATACTAGGTAGTCGGGTGCTACCCCAGCCCCAGTCACAGTCAAAAGAAAAAGCGCTTCACTCCATGCAAGCAAAGTGAAACGATGTCAGGATCCACGAACGATACTGGCGCACAGACGTTGACCTTCGTCCTTCGTTGTATATAACAACCCATACAGCAAAATATTCCACTCCCGACTCTCACTCCCTTCAACCCACCCGAACTCAACAGCTATGGCAACACTCCCGCGAACGGAACCAATACCTAAAACTCCAGCCATTCCCGCTGTGGCTGGTGCGAAAACTCTCTTCTCTTTACCTGGAGAGATCCGGAACAAAATCTATAGCTATCTACTTCCGGCCCACGGCGAGATCGAAATACACCAGCTTGTTCGAGACCATAGGTTTGCTTCCGCCGATACTCGTCCGATACACACCCAACACGCACATGCGCTAAAGCTGCTTATCACGTGCCGGCAAGTCTACCACGAGGCCACGTCCTTATTCCTGTCGAGTAACACCTGGGTTATCTCAAGGGCTGGGTATGACAAGTCAGGGTACCGAGTCACACAAGCAGACGACCTTGCGACTTGGTTGACTATGCTCGGATCTAGTGCGGCCATGGTACAAAAGGTTATTGTAAACTTGGCTGAAAACACCGACAATGGCGGTGACCAACTCAAATGGCGCCTAAAAATTGACTCCAGCAAGGATACAACTGATATGGCTGAGGCTGTCAAACTAGGCGATCTGCTGAAACGTCTCTGGGCAACCCCTAAAGCGATCCGTCAGATCAAGATTGTCAGCCCTAAGGGAGCAGGCAAAAACTACAAGTACCGGAACAACAATGATTTTAATCCCATGTTCAGCAAGACACATCCGGAGAACAGAGGTAACAAGACACATCCAGTCTTCGACACTAGTGCCATCACAAACGCGCTCATAGCTCTCCGACGCGACGATCTCGGTCTGAAGAACTGTGGACGTCAGGTGCACGATGTTCTCATCCGAAGAGACGGTCTAGAAGGGTACATCCTGTTCGACTACAACTACTATAAGCCGTCACACGATCGTCCCAAGGTTGAGAGGACCTACGTTGAGCGGAAGTTCTCCATCACGAACGGCGGCAAAACACTGTCACTTCAACCCGCCGACACCCCCGGATTGATGAACCTACCCCAGCACCTCAAGATCCGGCTTTTCGAATCGCTTTGTCTCGCTAAAGGGTTTCTTGACCCCTGGAGAAGTACAGTCACCATTGATCTGGACCAGAAGACTACGATAGGCGCAACTCCAGTGCTGGAATCGGTATCGCAACATCTGCGATCGGAGTGCTACTACCGCTTCTGGCTGGCCAATATCATCTCAGTCAAGATGCGGAGTACAGACGTAAAAACAGACTTCGACCACTTCGACAAACTACGCGTCTTCTGCTGTACCGCGTCTACTCCACGCGAGCCCTGGAGGATGAGCAACAGACGTAAAGGCATTCGTGATCTCGAGTTTCTACTTCAGTTCAACGTCTCGCCCGTACCCACGCTCGACGATCTGCGTATCAACATACTCGATTTTCTACGCGTGACGTCGTACCTTGATAGCCGCGATAGGAAAATCACGTTCCAGGTCGGCGATACAAATGATAAGGCATCTGTATCATTAGCCCATCTCCGGACATGTGCACTCATCGCCCTGACCGACTTCCAACAAACGTACAAGCGCACCCGCCCAGACACCAAGCGCTGCCCCAACATATGGGTAAACGGCTACGGCCGCATCGTACAAGTCGAGGCACCAGGCGGCAAATCAATAAATCCATCGGAGACCATACAGCGGAATGTGTCGCGTGGAGATGGTGGTGAAGATGTGATTGCCATCAATCGAGATTTTCGCAAGAAGTATGGTGGAAATGTAGAAGATGGGGATTTTACGACGCACGCAGGCCGCCTGTTTGATGGCACGTTAGGGTGTTATTTGGGGTATCTGCAGTGGTTGGTGGTGGTGGGGGATGAGGATGCGGCGTATTGGGCGGGGAGATGTAAGTTCTTTTGTTTGACCTTGTTGTGAAGAGAGAGGCTGACTGATGTGTTTAGATTTTGTTTGCAGTGAATGATTCCTTGGCCGTAGGCATTGGACGAGACCACGGGGAACGATCGCACGGTTTGAATGACAGCTTGCTTCTTTGGCAGCTTTTAAAAAATTGAATATAAGGCGGCGAGGGTGAGCACTGTTTGAGTGTAGAGCTCAAGATAGCAATGGTGGCGAACGACCTCAGGTTCAATAGTGTCATCTGCAGCTCAGTCACTTCGATTGTGGGACATGCTATCTTTCTTTGCAAACAGATTGTTCTTGAGTCCTGTGATTATCGACAACGCAACTGCTTTATTGAAGTACCAGACAAGCTGAACTTCGATAAATACGTGCTGCTCACATCGTCTTCTCACTCTCTTCAACCCCCTCATAAAGTGCCACGGTCAACCCCTACACAGCTTTCTGCACAATCTATTAAGAAGTCTTCAGCAGAACAATACCAGCCATGCTTAGCAAGGATGCTTTCATTGCTTTGGGCAAAACCCCTCCACCTCCGCCCATCGCTGAGGGCACTTCAATACCATGCGATTCGACAGCGCCCTCATTACTCACTACAATTCCTGCCGAGGTTCGGAATGCTATATACGACACTCTCTTCCATGTACCAAGCGGCATACGGGTGTGTTTCGGGTATTGCGGCCCCGAGTTCGAAGACCAGGAGCTGGGTGAGGATTTAGCATCTGGCCTTGCTCTTCTATCTACGTGCCGGCAGATCTATCAGGAAGCTGCCACGACTCTTTTCTCCAACAATACCTGGATCATGTCCAGATGTCCCACACGGATGCATCACATTTCGATAAATGCGCACATTATAGAGCCTACAGGTGCTGCGTGCATGCTTCAGATGTTTGGTTCTCGCAAGGTGATGGTCAAGAATATTCTCCTCGACTTGGATACGACATGTCCGGTTCCATGCGCGTTGCACCGTATAGCACCTGAGCTTCAGAATAACGGAGGTGGTATGACTGGAGGGGAATGGACGCTGGAGCTGTGGACTCTCATGACTGAGCTATTTCATCTACCGGACCTCAAGGTGCAATTCGTGCATCCGAAACGCCGCCCTTACTTTGATCTCCATCCTACGGCTGGCTTTGGCCAGGTCGATCTAGGTCTTCACCTTAGCACACTCAACAACATATTGGACACCCTACGAGAAGACGCCATTGGCATCAGGAAGTATGGAAGACAGGTTCAATATGTCAGGATTTTGAGAGACTGTACACAGGGCTATGTGCTGTTCCACATGCCGGGTCCCATGAGTGGTCATACGGTCGGCCTCGGAGACACAGTTCAGCTAGGATTCGTCATATCTCATGGGGGCAGAACGTTCAACTGGGTGGAACTTGAAAGGACGCCGCCTACCCTTGCAAACCTGCCACGGTATTCGAGAGATAAAATCCTGGACGAGGTTGCATTCCGAGGCATCAATCACAGTGGTAGCAATGGCGTCGGGGTCGTTTGGGACTTGGATAAAAAGACCTTGACCGGAGCATCACTTGTTGGGGGTGCAATATGCCAGAAGATTCGCAAGGATTACTACAGATGGATGTGGATAAACAAGCATGTCATCCTCAAGATGAGCACTAGCCAGACCCGCGCGGATTTCAAGAAGTTTGGAAATCTCATCGAATTCTCGCCTCAACGCAGCGTCACTCACCACAATCCTTACCACGACCGATTTCAGACTTCGCATATGACGCTCCTTCTAGAATTCGATACGCCCTCTGACGTCTCGGTGGAAGACATCCGCGTCAACATCAGCCATTTGTTGCGAGTTACTATAGACTTGTGTGGCAGTACGAAGGTTACCGTTTCTTTA